CAGCACGTGCTGAGCTGGGTGAACGATGCCACAGGCTTGGGCAGGGAATGTCAGTGGCCCCATGGCCACCCCTGCCGTGTCCTTACGCTGCCCTGGGCTGTGCAGCTGCTTTCACTGACTCTCACCCGAGGGTCCTGGACCCTTCCTGTGCTGGGTGCAGGGCCCTGGCAGCTCCTGGAGGACAGCGGGGTGGTGGGCAGGGGTGAGTGGGTGGCCCAGGGTGCTGCTGGATGTCCCCAGCAGGACAGGCAGCAGTGCCACCAACCTGTCCCTGGCTCTGCCAGGGCTCCCAAGGGCTCATCCAGACCCTGTCTGACAAAATAAAGGAATCAGTTCTTCCTCCAGGGACGGCGGTGGGGTTTCTGTGACACCTCCCTGTGCCAAGGGGGTCTTTCACTCAAGCCCAGCTGCCAGGACCGTGTCCCCATCCCTCCTTGGTGCAGCGGTGGGGGCTGAGGGGGACCCGGTGCTCCCCAGCCCCACGGCGGGGAGATGCACGGCGGTCCGGGCCCGAGGGCAGGTACGGGCCGGGAGGAGATCGAGGAGGAGCTGTGGGGGTGGGAGAGGGTGTGCTGCGGAGGGAGGTCTCCGAGCAGCTCCCCGTAAAGGTGAGCTGGGGAGGCTGGAGCTGCCGAGGAGGAGGAGGGCGGGTGGCAGCGCAGGTCGGGAGCAGCCGGGGTGAGGGCGGGTGGGCTGCGGGCTCCTGGGAGGGACGGACCCACCCTATTTACCTGCCAGACGGGGCCGTTCGTGGGGGGGAACGGAGCATGTGGCGAGAGATCATGGCAGCGGAAGGGGCTGAGGAGATGGGGCTGATCCCTCCATCCCCCCTGCCCCGGCTCAGGGTGTCCCCGCCCGCAGCTGCTGCTCCCCGGGACCGCGGAAAGGCCATGGGGGCTGYCGGCATCGCGGGCTGGCYGCTGCTGCTGCTRYTGCTGCTGCTGCCAGCGCCCCGGGTGACAGGTGAGCGCGGGGAAGTCGCGGGGGTGGCACCGGGGCTCGGGCACCCTGGGCCAAGGACACGAGCCCAGGGCCAGCGCGGAGCTCGGGGCCCGGGAGGTGCCGGGGCGACTGCGGCRTCGCCCCCGGGCAGGCGGGAGAGCAGACGGGGACACGTCCCTGAGCCACCCCCACCCTTCCGTGCCTCTCAGGTGCCCGACCCTGCATCCGCAAGGATTTTGGGCACGGCTCGCAGGTCTGCGTCTGCAACGCCACGTACTGTGACACGCTGGACCCCCTGGTCCTGCCGGCCGTCGGCTCCTATGTCAAATAYGAGAGCAGCAAGGCCGGCAAGCGGCTGGAGMGGAGCGAGGGGCGATTCCAGAGCAGCCTGCACAGCCCAGGTACSGCCAGGGGCGGGCGGCGGTGACCCCCCGGGACCCCCAGAGCACCGTGGGCTGAGCCGGGGTGTTCCCGCAGGGCTGCTGCTGACGCTCAACATCTCCGCGATGTACCAGCGCGTCAAGGGCTTYGGCGGGTCCCTGTCGGACGCCGCTGCCATGAACATCCTGAAGCTGTCACGGCCGGCCCAGGACAACCTGCTGCGCTCCTACTTCTCCGAGTGCGGTGAGAAAGATCGTGGGGTCACCGGAGGTGGCTGTGCTTGTCCCCCGCCGCGGGAGCGCCTGTCCCCTGCACGCCCGCTCCGGCGCCGCTTGATGCTTTTCCCGGTCCGCAGGGATCGAGTACAACCTCGTCCGCGTCCCCATGGCTTGCAGCGACTTCTCCGTGCGCCCCTACAGCTACGATGACATGCCCCAAGACTAYGAGCTGAAGCACTTCAGGCTGGCGGACGAGGACACGAAGATGAAGGTGGGAGGCTGAAGCCGCTGCCGTCGGCAGTTTGTCCCCTCGGGCACCGGAGCTCACCGGGACCCCCGTGAGCGGGYGCTGCCCGGCTGTGGCAGGGTGCACGGGGACAGCCTGCGGGAGCTGGCACCTCCTCCGGGGCACGTCCTGGCGCATGCCAGCTGGCATTGGCAGGGTGAGAAGCCGGGGCACTGTGCCATGGGGCGGTGTTTGCCGGCTACCGGTCCCCGCTGAGGTCCCTCGAGTTCTCTCCCGTGCCGGGTCCTGGGGTTTTGGGGTGCTGCAGCTGGAGCTGACCCTGTCCCTCCACCCTCTCCCGCAGATCCCCCTCCTGCGCCGAGCTTTGGCCATGAGCAAGCGGCCGCTGTGCCTGTTCGCCAGCCCCTGGACGGCCCCAGCCTGGATGAGGAGTAACGGGGATGTCCGAGGGAAGGGGACGCTGAAGGGGAAGGCGGGGGACAAGTACCACAAGACCTGGGCCAACTACTTCATCAAGTACCGCCTCTGGAGCCAGGCTGGGGTGGACAGCGGGGACACCAGGGGCTGGGGTGGGAGGTGGCAGCACAGCCCATTCTGCCCCCTCTTTCTCTGCCCCAGGTTCCTGGACGAATACGCCAAACACAACGTGACCTTCTGGGCGGTGACGGCKCAGAACGAGCCGCTGGCGGGGCTCTTCACCCCTCCCCAGGCCCCCACCATCGCCTTCACGGCCGAACAGCAGCGCGATTTCATCGTCCAGGACCTGGGCCCCGCKCTGGCCCGCAGCCCGCACCGCACACAGCTCCTGATGCTCGACGACCAGCGCATCTACCTCCCGCACTGGGCCAAAGTGGTGAAGAGCAGAGCCCCCTCCTTCCCCTCCGCCCCAGCCCCGGGCTTTGTTGGAATTGGAGCCAGCGGCCYCTCCCAGCCCTAGAGAGTGGGAGCAAACCGGGTCTGCCGGAGCGGGAGCCGGAGCCGGCTCCTTCGGGAGCAGCCGCCTCCGCCTGTGCCCGGCGGGAGTGGGGACAGGAGGTGACACCCACATCCTGGATCCCGCCAGCACTGCTGGGCATCAGCACCTTCCCTGGGCAGAGTTCTGGCTGATTCGGCTTCCCCCACAATGCTGCAAGGGCTATTTGGGGGAATCACCTTAAACTRGGAGGAAAGAAATTAAAATGTGCCKCTGTCCCAGCCSTGGCGTGGCTGCAAGGCTGGACCACCCCAGGGGGATGTGGAGGGAGGGCCGGGCAGCAGCAGAGCCAGGTTCGGGGGACAATCCCGTACCCCACGCTCCCCACTGCACCCAAAAGCTGTGTTGGGGTGCTGCTCAAGGGGTGCAGTGCTGCAGGGAGGTGGCGTGGGCTGTGGTGACCACGGGAGGTGGCCACAAGAGGCATTCCTGGGAGACCACGCCGGCACACAGTGTCCTTGTGTCCATCCCCCACGGGTGGCCTGAGTGTGAGGCATCTCCTTTGCTCCCCAGGTGCTGGGAAATGCCACAGCTGCCCGCTACGTGGCCGGCCTGGCGGTCCACTGGTACCTGGATGCCATCGTGCCACCCGGCTGCAGCCTGGAGGCCACGCACAAGCTCTTCCCTGACCATTTCCTCCTCTACACCGAGGCGTGCACCGGTTTCTTCATGTTCCGCTTCGCCGTGTCCCTGGGCTGCTGGGAGCGAGGGGATCACTACAGCTACAGCATCCTGACGGTACGGCCCCCGTGCCACCCGCCCGCACCCGGGGGGCTCGGCCCCGCTCAGCCCTTTCCCTGTCCCCCCTCCAGGTCATGAATCACTTCGTGTCCGGTTGGACCGACTGGAACCTGGTCCTGGACCTGGAGGGAGGCCCCAACTGGGTCAAGAATTTCGTGGACAGCCCGGTTATCGTAGACGGCAGCAAGGATGTTTTCTACAAGCAGCCCATGTTTTACCACATGGGGCACTTCAGGTGGGTCAGGGGGGCTCAGGTGCTGCCCCCAGCCCCAGACCGGGGGCAGAACCCCTCTCCTGGTTCTCTTCCCACAGCAAGTTCATCCCCGAGGGCTCCCAGCGGGTGGGGCTGCACAGCAGCCGCCGCTGCCTTTTCTGCAAGCTGGAGCACGTGGCCGTCGTGCGCCCCGACGGTGCCCTCGTCCTGGTGGTCCTCAACAGGTCAGCCCAGGCAGGGGACGGGGTGATGCTCGGCCCCGGCTGTGCCCACCTGCTCAGCCCCTCTGATCCCCCAGGTCTGGCCGGGATGTGCCGTTTGGAATCCGGGACCCTGCCGTGGGCTTCATCGACACCGTGGCTCCGGCCCAYTCCATCCAGACCTACCTGTGGCGCCAGCAGTGATGGCCAGGGCAGCGCTGGGGGGCTCCGGGGGTCTCTCAGCTCTTCCCCCAACCTTTCCAGCATCCCTCAAGGTGGGAAGCAGACGCTGACCCAGCGCTGGGGGTCCAGCCCCGCCACGGAGGGCTCCGTGCGCTCCTGGCACCGGTCCCTGTCCGGGGCTGCCCCTTCCCATCCTCACCTCCCTCCCAGCCCTTCYCATCCCCATCCCCCTGGAAGCTCCCGGGCCGCGCTTCCACACGTGGCCCCCTCGAAACTTTCGCGTGTGTGGCGAGCGCCAAGTAAAGCCATGACGCGCTCCCTCCGGAATGCGCCGCTCCCGTCAGCGTTTCCTCTACGCGCTCGGAAATCTCTCGGTTTTCCTCGGCGGGGCGGCGTGGGGCCAGGGCTGCCCCGGGGGCTCCGGCCCCCGTGGCCTGCGGGTGTCTCCTTGTTTATCCCTGCAGCTGGAGCCTCGGCCGCTGCCAGCCCTTGATTCGTTCCAGACGCGCTGTTGGTTTTTCCCCCCAGCCTACTTTGCGGGGCAATTTATTTTTTCTTTTTTTAAAAAAATCCAAATGTCAGATGCTGTCGGAAAGGCCGGGTAAATGATATCAGTGTACCCGTCCTCCGGACTTTGTGGATAAATTAGGCTGGTGYCACCTCTCCCGGGTGGCCTCCGGACAGAGTCCCCTCTATTCTGGCTGTGGCCAACGCCGCCCGCAGCCCGCAATGACCTCCCCGTCCTGTTTGCTTTCCCTAAATACCGGTTACAGTATTCCCTTTGCCTTTGGGAACGTTACCAGCATCTTTGAAGTCCAGGAATGAGAAAGCCAGAGCTCTCCTTGGCAAATGACCCCGTGTGAGAACCACGGAGCTGCTGAGGTCGGGGAAAAAAGAAAAACGCAGAGGTTTAGCAGCCGGTTCATTGGAGTGTGGTGTGAAGGTGACGCCGGGCTCCGTCCCAGCGCTGTTCAGGGAGCACGTCAGCCTGTGCTGTGCTTTTCTCCGTGTTCCAGGGGAACGCCGGCCCCAACGGCAGCTGGGCTGGGCTGTCTGTGCTTGGAATCAGAGAATAGAATAATGGAATTCTAGGGGTTGGAATAACGAAATCGTTTGGGCTGGAAAATCATGAAATCCTTGGGGATKSAATCATGGAATCCTTGGGGTTGAAAAGTCATGAAATCCTTGGGGATGCAATCATGGAATCCTTGGGGYTGGAAKAATGAAATCGTTGGGGTTGGAAAAACATGAACTCCTTGGTGTTGGAATAATGAAATCCTTGGGGCTGTAATCACAGAATCCTTGGGGTTGAAATCATGGAATCCTTCAGGTTGGAATCATGAAATCGTTGGGGTTGGAAAATCATGGAATCCTTGGGGTTGGAATCATTAAATCCTTGGGGTTGGGATCATGGATCCTAGGTGTTGGAAAATCATGGAATCCTTGGTGTTGGAATCATGGAATCCTTGGGGTTGGGAAATCATGAAATTGTTTGGGTTGGAAAATCATTAAATCCTTGGGGTTGGAATCATGACCCTGGGTGGGGCAGTTGTGACCCTGAGTGGCGGTCTGTGACCCTGAGTGGGGGTCTGTGACATTGAATGGGGGGCTGTGTCATTGAATGGGGGTCTGTGACCCTGGGTGAGGGTTTGTTACGCCCTGGGTGGGGGGCTGTGACCCTGGGTGGGGGTCTGTGACATGGAATGGGGGTCTCCCTCCCTGGGTGGGGGGTCTCCCTCCCTGGCCACGCCCACCAGCTGCCCCCCGGGGACCCCGGCGCTGAATCCCCGCCCCCCGCGGCTCTGCCCGCCCCCCGATCCTCCCGCCGAGCACACGCCTGCAATTAGCGAGGATCCCAAATTAGACGGTGCGGAGCCCGGGCTTGTTTTGCAGATGAGGAACTCCACCCAGCCCGCTGCGGCGTGGGGCTCCGGCGTGGGGGCGAGGGAACCTCCGCGGGCATGTGCCCATGGGCTTCGGGGCCGGCGGGAAGGGTCGGGGGTCCCTGCCATCACCGGGACCCTGTCCCCGTCACGGGAGGAGCTGAAGCAGCCACCAACGGGACACGGGTCGTGGTGGTGACCATGGCACTGACCACGGCAAAGCCGAACCGCTGCCGGGTGGCATGGGCAGGGATGCTGGGTGGGCACGGCCAGCCCTGCCCTGGCCGAAG